CTTGGCGGCATTTCTTTTTATTTATTTAAGAGGCAGATAAATGGGAACTGATAGAAAGAAGTACCAGTTTGCATCACTCCCCAGATGCCCACAATGGCCAGTGTTAAAGCCCACAGGCTAGAACTAAATCTACATTTCCCATATAAGTAGCAGGAACCCTATTACTGGATCCATTGCCACTACTTTCAGGGTCTGTATTAGCAAGAAGCCAGAGGCAGGAACAGGAGCTGGTGTCAAGCCGCATGGTGCGATGTAACCTTGTAAACACCTGCAGCAGCATTTCTCATTGCCACTCGTAACTTTGTTGTTCTTCCTTTTTTCATAGATAAAGAAAAATACAACACACAAAAGCAAATTGTCCAAGGAAGAACTTGAAAGAGACTAATGCTCACTTGTTTTGTTTCCATTCTCCAAAAGGAGGCTTAGAAATTACTTGACGAAAGTGACCTTATAAATGTTTGCTCTCTTGGAATTAAGAATAATGTACAAAGTCAATTTTTAAATAGTAATCTTTGATTGCTTAAAGGAATCTCAGGCGATACAAAATACTCCCTGTTGATCTAGTTCTTTTTACTTGAAAATAGAGTAGGGAAGTAGGTCAGTGCTTTGCTAAAAGCAAAAGTAAGCACTCTGAATTTTTTTTCCCCAAACATCATTACATTTTTGTCTTGGCTGTAAGACTGTTACCACCAGTGCCTGCTGGCTTCATTACTATCTGATTTGTGGTTCGGTTCCATATGGCATTTGTCCTGGAGGAGCCCTATAGTTGGCTTCTTCCCAAGGGCAAAAGCAGAGTTGGCACTCAGGATCTTGTTGTAGTTTGCAGGCAAGATGCCAACAGAGAAGCGTGTGCCTGTGTCCATGGCCTGCATGTGGACACTAAGGCCACAGGAAACACCAGCCTGGAGAAATCCATTCATGGAAGAATAAACAAGGACAAGCAGCCACTTAGGTCTTATTGTAATCACATTCTGCAGATACCTTAGGGTGTGACATTGGAAAAGTCAGTTTACCTCTGTGACGCTCAGGTTCTTGGTCTTCACAGTGGAGATGATGATTCCCACGGGAGCTGTTACGATATTGAATGTCAGGCATTCGGCAATGATTTCTGGCAAAGTATAGGTTCTCGATATCATTTGAATTTTAATCTAAATTGTTGTGCTCTGAAAGATATTACACTGGGTGCTTAGGATAGTTAGGGAGTGAAGAGAAGTGACACAGTCTAATTAGCTAAGCACAAGATTAGATTCTTTCAAAGGGAAGGTCTTAGTGAAGATCCTGCTAGGATTTATGGTATTTGTTCTGTGATTACTTCTCTCTGAACAACCTATGGTTGTATGTGGTCTCTGGCAAGTAACCCTGCATTGACCACATAGATGGATAACTGGAAGTGCCAGGAGCTGTAGTCAGAAATTGCCCACAAGTCCGCACTGCAATTAAGCATCAGCCAGGATAAAAACTCAGAGTCCAAACAAGGAAGAGCTTCCTGGATTTTAACTCATTTGACCAAGGTGGTGCCCTTCCATCAGGATTCAAAATGTGGGCTTCAACAAGAGTAGGGTGGTTGATGCAATAGAAACCCCTATTTGGTGTAGGAGCTTTGGATCAGGAAGTATGACAATGATGGTAGTGTTTTTTTACCTGGATGACATCCAGACAACAGGGAATTTACTGAAGGCTGAGGTTTTTATGCTCCTAGCACTTGCTACAGGTCTTTGAAGTGTTGTTTGCAAAATGGCGCAGGAAAGGCTGTTGATGTGGGTGTGAGGCTCTGTGTTTCCGTGCAACTGTGGAAACAGAGAGGTGAGGAATCTAGAGATGGAGACACTCTTATGTGATGATTGAGAAATTGTGGGTAACAAAGATACTGTAAAGGACTCTTCAGTTCTGCTCTTTGTACCACCTTTGCCATGTAGGGACAGTGTGTGTATATTATTTTTCTATTACTCCTACTTCTTATTAGCACTTTGATTTCGAGGACCCAATAGAACTTTCTCTGGCTTTGTCTTCCCATTGACGTGCGTGAGCTATCCCTTCACCCAAAGACAGAATACAAAGAGTTGACCACACAATAAATTAGAAATATTTCTTTTCCTTTGAAGCCCAATGAACCTTCATTCGAATATCAGCTCTATAAATACTGCAATTTATTAAATTTATCAAATAAATGAACTTATTTTCTTAAATTTCAGCATCTGGAAAATATTTTGTTGCAGTATTGTTTAAAGGATTGGAAATGTAGAGCAGCCAGCATAGCATCTGTTGTGTACATGTTCACTGAAACATACATGTTATTGTATTGATCACGGACTTCACACACATCACAAACACAAAGGGATTAACAGCAAAAATTGCTGATACAGAGTGTGTACCGTGTGTCACATCTGATAGTAAATACAAGACAGTGAGTTGGAGTCTGCTGTACCCATTTCACAGATGAATGATCTGAGACCCAGAGTGACGCAGTTAGGAGGTGGTGGTGTAACCCCTACACTGCCTCAGGTTAAGAAGTCTCTAGGTGTCTGAGAAGGATGGCCAATGTAGAGGAATTAGAAGTATGCAGTCACCCATGTAAAGGCCAGAGGTGTATGGCTTAAGTCTTCTCACAAGAGCTTTTCTCCCTTTGTCCACCTTGGTGAATTTATTTTCTGAGAAAGAGTAGAAGGCTTCTCCATTCTGAGAAACACTGAAGAATGTTTGCGGTAGAATTCTGGGAGTTTAGATGTCAGTATTGGTGTACTGCTACCTACCTCTTGCAGTTATATTAACTGTGCTCTGTAATAAAGATGCAGAAAAAGGCCCCATTTTTTGAACTTCCGCTTTCTGTTAGCTGAGATCTGTGGCAACACCTTCCTCTTTTCATTCTAGCTGATTGTCAACAACAGTAACCACGAGTCCTTCCTGTCCCAGAAATAAGTCTTGCTACACTCTCAGCTCTCACCATGCTACCAACGTACCTCATCTCCCCCTTGCAGCGGTCATGGCTTCACAGGGTTAAAGTGTTTATTGGATTCTCAGAATGGTTGGTAAAAAAGCATAGGTGTGTAAGAATAAGATAAAGGGCTCCACTCTGATGTAAACAGCCATTATGTTGCACCTAAATTGTTGAAGGAATATTTTGTACTCAATATTTTATTCAGCAGAACATTTTTTTTTTGTAACAATAAGGTTGATTAGGAAAAGCTCTGAAAGTGCTTCAAGTTAACAGTCTGATTGTTTATCTCAATGATAAAAAAATAAATAAATAAGTAAAATGGTAGAATAAGGGGATAACAAGGTGTAGAAATTGAAGCCAGGACCTAGGGAAGAATATTTGACATTGTGTTCTTGCGGGGATTAAACATAACTCAGGGTTTCTCCTTTTGGCCTTTTAGCCATTACGTGTCATTGGAGTTTTGCTGTTTGTTTGCAGGAACTCAGGGCTAGCTTAGATCCATAGCTGACAGAATGTGATCTGCTGTTCTTTTTTGATTGTTTTAAGCAAGTAAGGAGCTCTACTTAAGATCTTTGGGGACCTTACTGCCACCCTGGGCTTCCATGAAGTCACTCCTACCATTTGCCATTTAGTTGTCCCCTTTTCCACCTACTCTGTTTCTTTGGCTAGGGAGTGATCAGGAACAAAGTTGTGCATGTCCTGTGCCTGCCTTGCGCTTGTTCAGATGCAAAGGAACCATTCCAGGGGCCCGGCATTGCAAGCGAGTGCTTCTCAGAAGCCTTCAGCCTTGTCAGTGGACAGAGTGGCTAGGTTTTGGATGCATTTGGAGGAGAGAATATGAAGAGGGTGTGTGGAGTTGACTCTGTTTTTTCCAGCTCCCATGGGGGAATCCATGTGAATGTCCTCATTGTCAGATGACATCATGGTGTCTAGGAGCACAGGCTCTCAGCAAGCGTTATGGGTGTTTGGGGGAAAAGAACATGAAGAAAGACTGATTTGCAAAAGCCTTCAGTTTTGCTCTTTATCAACCCCAAATATTTACTGAAGCTAGGAGAAGAAAACGGCGGGCTTCTTTTTTTTTTTTTTCCTCTCCCAAACGTGTGATTGTTTAGAACTCAAGTGCAACATCTGGAAGTCAGATATACAGAGAGCAATTTATGAAGTGTGAAAGAATTGAAATATTCAGTGTCCTTTAGTGGGAACTCAACTTTCTGGGAGTGGATTCTAACCCTCCTAAATACCCCCACCCCCAGGCACAAAGCAGGCAATTCTGAGATTGCCTTTGCCTCTCTGAATTAAACCCTTTGTGCCTGGGTCCCACAAACAATGTGCTTTTTAAAGGGAGCCCCCCTCCCAGCTCTGGCCCTTTTCTCCAGCGTGGGCAGCCAATCAGCTGCGCAGAGCTGCATAGCTAGAGCGCTTTCCATTCTGAGCAGCAACAACGTACTAATTTGATGCACACATGGATGCCTCGCGCACTCCGCGAATTCATCACCAGCATCTTGCATTAGTCATCTGACGGACTGCCAAGTGTTTCATTTTCCTTCCATGTGACTTTATTATTACCACCTCTCTCCTGTCTTCCAAAAAAGGGCGGGGAAGGGGGAAGAGAGAAATCGAGAAGAAATCCAGCCCTAGCCTTTCTTTGCCAGAGATAGCTTAGCCAGCGTAGGGCTGATAACGTCGTCAGCGCCGCCAATGCCTTGATGGCAGCCTCGCAGAGCGAGACCTGCACTTAACTTGCAGCTGCCTCGCAAGCCCGGGTTCGGAGATGTCCACGCCCCGGGTGACAGCCGGCGGGGCGCTGCCCTGTGCTCCGGCTGTGATGCTCAACAGCAGGATGCAGTGAAAGCCTCTCCGCCCGCCTGCGGCCGCTGAGCAACAACCTTCAATGGTGCCTCTGCTTTGTTTTAGTTCATCAAATTTCTGCGAATCATTAGGCACTTTCCCCCACCCCGTGTTCCTCTTCTTCCTCCTTCCGCCTCCCCCCCACCCCCACTATTTTTTTTCTTCCTGTCCCTCACCCTGCTGCCCTAACTCTGGCTCCCGGTTCCGTTTTTGACAGTAACGGCACAGCCAACAAGATGAACGGAGCTTTGGATCACTCAGACCAGCCAGACCCAGATGCCATTAAGATGTTTGTCGGACAGATCCCCAGGTCATGGTCAGAAAAGGAGCTGAAAGAACTTTTTGAGCCTTACGGAGCCGTCTACCAGATCAACGTCCTCCGGGACCGGAGTCAGAACCCTCCCCAGAGTAAAGGTACAGACCGCATGGGGCGTGGGGGGCTGGGGGACACTCAGGTGTCCAGGTGGGCGTCCTGGGGGCTCCGCAGCGCAGAGCGGGCTGCGGGAAGGAGGGAGGGCGGGCTTGCCAGCGGGGAGCGGCTGGGGCTGGCAGCTCCTCTGGGCTCCTCCCCGAGGCGGCCTCGGTGCTGCCCGCTGGGACAGGTGGAGCCGGAGCGAGCGAGGGCCAGCGCGCAGCCTGCGCCTCTGTGCTGGCGCGTGATTGCTCCCGGGAGGTCACTTTCTAGGCGGCTGCTGGGCGGGGTGGCTGCCCCTGAGGAACAGTGTTTCTCAGCCGTGTGTGTGTGTCTGGAGCTAACTCTTTCTATTGCTACCCTCCCATGATTGCCAGTGTAATGACAATTGTATTTCACTTTTCTGTAGCCTGTGGGGACCTGGCAATGCCTTATGAAACTGTTTAGCATGATGCTGGTGTGAGGAAGAAAGGGCTCACTTTCCGAGAGCCCTGTGTCTCTCCTGGGGAGGTGGGGAGCCTGGATAGGGGTCGTTAAGAAAAGTGTGCCTTTTGGAGCCAGAGAATGGCGCCCTAGTGGCCTGAAGTAGTTAACACACCTTCAGAAAGCTTGAGGTTTACGCCCTTATCAGTGGTAAGATTCAAGTGTGCAGTCTGGTGGCTGTTAGTGCCTCCATTTTAAGATGATAATGATGGGAGCGGAGGTAGCAGTTATTAAAATAGAGGCCAAAAACCCATCGTACCTGGTTGGCGCTTTTGCCTATTGGAGTTCTACTTTACAGGCTCTGATTTAAAAACCTCTCTTCTGGCTGCTACCACTTGGCCTCTGTCATTTTAAACGTCTCACTTCAGTAATTTCGCTCTTTCTATGTTTTTGGTCTCCATCTCTCTGCTCAAGACTTGTCCGTCACCGTGTGGCCCTCACGGTTCCTCGTTCCGTGTGCCCTGAAGTTACCCCCCTGGCCTGTTTTGCATTATTTCTATGTTACTTCTGCTGACAACTCTGAAGAGCTCATTGTGGTTTGGCTTATACCTACACTTTCCTTGGGCACATGAACATTGGCTGATACTTCTTACTGAGCCTTTTCTGGTTGGCAAGGTGTAACGGTGGAACTAGACGATGCTGGAAGACAGGTGTCACTCAGACGTGTTTGGTCATCTCTTGGTACCTTAGTCACCGAGCTCTGACAGGACTTTGCAGAGGAATGTAAGTCTCTCGCTAGTTATCATTTCATAAAGGTGAATAAACGTGCCTTTAAATTACATTCCTAAGACTCCAGCCTTCTAATCTCAAAACCAAAACACCAACTTGTTTTTGAGAAAACATAGAATTCTGTTGCCACAAACTTGACTGTTCCATAATTTAAAAGGGTTTTTTTTTTTTTAAATCTAAAAACCAATAGAATTTACTTTATAATTATTTGCCTACTTGTTTCTCAAATAAGGAAGCCTGGAGTTGGTTTTAAGACTCACCCTCTCACAGTGTTGAAGTAAGGAAAGATGGAATGATGTGTAGGAATAGAACTGAAGAGTCACCAGGTCCAGGCCTGCAGCACGTGGAGTGGCACCCAGCAGGAACTAGGACAGAGGGAGTAAACTGTGCTTTTGAGAAATAACCACACTTTGTCCTTGACTAGGAAAAGTTGACTCTGAATTTTGGTTTGTCAGCATTTTTTTCCAAATGACCTCTGAAAAAATGACCACAGCTCATTTATTGTGATGATGCCTGGTTACTTTCATTTTATTTGAATATACATGTTTGACCTTGACCAAAAAAATGCCCTTTTCTCAGTCAAATAATTACATTTTGTATGTGGTCTAGTTTTTTCCCCCATTTTCACTGTTTTCCCCCATACCTTTCTTTGAACATCTTCATCAGATTATTCATATATTAGAGACTACGCTTTTTTTTTCAAAACTTCCATTCATTAGGTTCTATAGCTAATTTTGTGAATATACTTTGTGGAAGCCCCTAGTAAATGAGGAAAATAGCTGGTTTGATCACATGGGCCAGTGTTACAAACTTTGTATATGTTCTTATTTTGCTCTTGCTAAAAATCATGAACATACAAGGTAGTCATCACATTTTAGAAGTGAGGAAACCGAGACCCCCTAAAAAGTTTTAAAATGTAGCCCAGTTTACCCAGATAATGGGTGACAAAGTGGAGCTTTGAACACAGTTCATGTATCATCATGTGCAACACCATTTTAGCGCTCAGTGAGGTGAGACCACAAACACACTCTGACCTGTTCCATTTCGGCGCTTGGGTCAGAGCCCTTCTCCTTTACATAAGTGTCCCCCAGGTGAAAGGAAGAAAATATGCCCTTGAAGACCAAGGTTGATTTCATTTCTGTCTTTGTGTTTAGTTTCTATACTCATGGGTTTAGACTGTACATCAGTCCTACTCATGGTATCATGGGATAGGAGTTACAGATGAAATCATTCAAATCTTACCTTTGGAAATACAGGTCAATTCCCATTACTGTGAACTCCAAGTCTCACATCAAATATTGCTTGAAGTATGTGGGCTGTCAGCCAAAGCTTGAAAGGATTTTTGTTATACAGACATCTCTGTTGTAAAGGTATTTGTTGTGATGGGATTTGAGCTGTATAATGACATTCTTCTCGGAGGATTACAGCCGTTAGCTGCTTACATACAGAGAGAAGCCACCACATTCTTTATGTTGATTTATATGTATGCCATGAATTATTTGCCTGCTCATATGTAAAATAGCACCCCAAATTTGTGTGGATTCTGACTGTCAGCACAGTACAATTATGTTTTCACAGGACTCATGTCATAAACTAGCATTACTGGAGGCTCTTTCTAAATGGGGTTTACAGTACCTAAGTAGAGCCTTTAGAGTGGCCTTAAGTCATTGCTTTTCCAGCATTGATGTTTCTAAGTCAATCCATTACCTAATCCAGGTGGGTTTGAGTGTTCTGTTTTACATTTTGTTGAGTCTTGAGACACAAAAACTTGTCCTATTTTAAAACCACTTTTTAAGAAGTAGAGTCTGATCTACCTGTTTCTTCTCCCTATAGTTTTATGTATTCACCAAGCAGGCCTAGGGATAACTCTAAATGAGCTATCCCTTCTAACTTGACTTGGGAAGGACATGTTTTATTCATTGGTTATTCACTGAGTCTGTGGTTAGTGAGGAACATCACATGGTAATTAGGAACGTGGTTTCTGAAATCAGACATTTCTAAATTCAATTTCTAATTCTAAACTTTGATATTGGTTTTGGGGTATATTACTCAATGTCATCTGAAAGTGGTGACAGTCTTTATAAGGTTTCTGAGCTAATCTAGTACTGCTTTGCACAGAACTACAAAATTATAGGAACTTGTTATCGTGTCAACTGTTGTCACAGTATTCACTGTCTTCAAGAGGTTAAAATCGAATGAAGCCAATAATGTAAGTTCACAAGCAACTATAATGTAGAAGAGCATAAGTTAAGAGTAAGAAAAAAATGAGCATGGAATTCAGAGAAGTATTAAGTAACTTGCAGCTTTCAGAATATAGGTAAAGCTGTCATTTTTACTCAAATTTTGAAAGTGCTAACAGGATTTCTCTAAAGAGATGCTGATTTCTCTAAAGAGATGGACTGACTTGGTGTAGCCATTCAGCTAAAAGAGTACAATGTGAGTGCTGGGACTGAATTCTTCCAGAGTTCAGAGAAAATGTGAAAGATGCGAAATGAAAGGGAAGAAGGGAAGTCCAGTGAAGCCTGGAACCATAGACTAAGCCCAGCTCACACAGGACTATAACTCTGAGGCTAAAATATTTGGAATGTCTTTGTTAAACATCAAGGATCTAGGAAAGATATTTAAGCAGAAATAACTAGTGCAGTATCTTGAATTGTGTTATAAGGATGTTGTCTTCCTTGGAAATGGAGGGGACGAGAGTGGGGGTAAGGCTTGATAATAACCCCCCTGAGCGACTTTGTCTTAGCAGAGAAACAGGAAAGAGATCATAAATGGTGGGGATGGAGAAGTACTAGTATGTTAAGTTTTGATTGTGCTAAGTGTGTGGTGCTGCAGAGAAGTCAGGAAGCATACAAGCTGAAAGGGACCGGGGGGAAACGCTGGATTCAGTGATGGGAAGACCTGGCAGCATCTCATAACAAGGGTGGAAGGAAACTGCCTAGAGTGTTCACATGGGATAATGAATGTAGACTCCCCTTTCTAGTGCTCTGGTCATTAGAAAAATAAAAGATGGCTTACCACATGTAGTTCTTTCCCTTTCTTCCATTTTTTAAGGATTTGTAATGTTTACTTTTTATTTACTTGAAAGGCAAAATGAGGGAGAGACAGCAATATCTTCAATCCACTGGCTCATTCCCCAAATACCTTCAACAGGATCAGGCCAAAGACAGGAAGCAGGAGCTCTTTATCTGGATCTCACACATGGGAGGGTAGGGACCGAAGTACTTGAGCCATCATCTGCTGCTTCCCAAGGAATGCGAAGCACGACTCGGTTCTAGGATCTCTGATATGGGATGTGCTGGGTAACACATTAGCGTGTTCTATCACGATGCTGCTGTCCTTCCTCCTCTCCCCTAACACCCCAACCCCCACCCGCCAGCCAAACAAATGATTAAAAAAGGAGAGAGGGAGAAGAGCAAAATAAAAATCAGAAAGTATAAGGTAGAACTGAATCAGGATATTGGGGGAAAAAAGAACAAAAGAAAATGCTAAAGAGTACATGGGAATACTGTTAAGATGATTCACTTGAAATAGCAGAGTAGTTAGGATACAACATAAAATTTCAGTGTGATAGATGGAATCAGGAGATATTTAATAAAGATGCCTTCAGTTTTCTCAGTAGATAGTACATTTCTAGGAAGGCTGATCAAAGACCTTCATAGACTGGAAAGGTTTTAAAATGACGACTCTGGAAAATCCAGTAAGGGAAAGAATAGCAGAACTATTGGAGAACTTGAAAGACCCAATTAAAATTAGGTTGTTTCACTTGAGGGTAGGCCCTGGTGACTGG